ACAAACAGCCTCGCTGCCTTCAGCGCCAGAGCCGTTGCCTTGCCCAGGCGCAACGCCCTGAGCAGCGCTGGCCGTGAGGGGTGCCCGAGGTTCACGTGCACCCTCTCGATCGCCCTCTTGACGGCCCTCGGCAACAGCTCCCAACGTCGCTTCCTCTCCCGTGAGGCGTCCCGCTGCTGTGCTGCAGCCGGCCCCTCGGGCAGGTCGCCCCGCTCGTAGCCCGCGAAGTAGAAGACCACCACGTCGTTCTCGAGTAGATGTCGTGGCAACCAGCGCCGTCGTGCTTGCAGTGACTGTTGCGACCAGTCCTCGAAGTCTAGCCTGAAGAGCTGGTCGCCCTTGAGCGTCGTGACCATCCTGAGCGGGGCGTCCGCGGCGTGCAGCTGCGGCTGCGCCGTCTGGAGCCGCTGACCCCCGCGTCTAGCCTTCACCATCTTCAGCGGCTCGCTGATGACTCCTCCCAGCTCCTCCAGGAAGAGGTCCGAGCCCCAGATGATCGTCTCGATATCCTCGCCCATCTTCTCCAGTAACCTCCTATGCCAACTCCGGAATGTGTCCAGCTCAGCGCACAGCTCCACCGTCAGTAGCTCGAACTCGCCGTACTGCGTACGCCGTCCCCGTCGGAAGCCCAGCGGGCGTCCGCCAGGAGGCACTCCGCGCTCGCGGCGAGCAGGCGCTCGGCCGCGCCTGGGCCTCACGGGCACCTCGGCCGGTGCCTCTGGGGCCTCCGCCGCCGCCTCGGCAGGCGGCGCGTCCTCTCCGAGAGGCGGGCCCTCCTGGTGTGCCTCCTCCGGCACAGGCTCTCCCCGCGGCGGGCTCCGCGATCGCGGACGCTCGTGCGGGAAAGCATCCTCCACAGGGAAGGCCGCATCCATGACCAGCGAGCTGCGGTAGTCGATCTGCATCTGCTGGAGCACGCCGCGACAGAAGGCCTTCGCGAGGCCCACGGGGTAGGCTGCCGCCTGCTGCGCCCGATAGCCACCCGAGTTCTTCCCGAGCAGCTGCTGGTGGGCGCCGGGCGGACAGGCACAGCGCTTGCTCAGGTGGTTCGCCACCGCTGCGCTGCTCGTGAGCCACCCCGTAGGCTTCTTGATCGGCTTGCCCGTGTCCTTGTCGCAGGCTCCGTAGGCACATTGATCTCCGCGCACAAACACAACACCTTCCAAATCCCACAAACGTATCAGGATGCCGTCATACTCCCAAGAAAGTGCTGTCAAAGGCTGCTCTATCAAGAAATACCGTCCTCTCGCATGCACACATCGAGATACCCGCCGAACGAGCAAAAGATAACGACGAGCACTCCTGCGGACCTCATCCCAGTCGATGAGCTTGTTCATGTTGGTCATCAGGGACCACGGATGACAGGGAAAAGCCAACACTGTGATGTAAGGCCAATGCAGGTCGAGGATCCGGTAGAGTAAGGCCCGTCCAGGGCCCTTGAGCAAGTCATAGTCGGGAGAGTGGTGAACGTCCAGCGGCTGAGACTGCATCCAACCGTATTCCTTTGCACCGTAGCGCGTCAGGATGTACTCCCCACCGAACGGCTCGAACACCACCGTGGTCTGGAAGTCGGTGGTCACGAAACGCTCCGCCTCGAACCTCGGTCGAAGTAGCTCTTCTCGTAGTCGTCGATCCTCTCCACGAAGCTCACGCCAGGTGGACTCGAGCTTCTTCCGAGTCGTCTTGGAGAGGATCCCTGTCGCGTCGGTGGCCAGCACACCGCGATCCTTCGACAGGAAGGCGTGGCCAACCTCCTCCTCGACCCGGATCTCCTCGCCGTCGGACTCCTCGAAGACCGACTCCTTCTGCGCCTGCGCGTAGAACAACCCCCTTTCCCTATTATTCGAGATCGCCGTCGCTGGTCCTGAACTCGAAGCTGCTGCCGATCGGTGACCATCATCGTCTCCCCAGTCATCAAGTCGCACTGCCAAGTGACCGCCCACCTTGAGCAGCTGCACGTCCACGGCGAGCGTCTGCAGCTCCATCCGCATCTCCTTCAGGTGGAGCACGGCACCCAGCGCCTCCTGCGACGCCAGGCTGACTAGGAGCGGGGTGTCGCAGTCCTCCATCTCCGTGCTGAAGATCACCCCGCGGCGGCCGCCAAGGGCGACCGGGATCTCGACCACGCGCCCCTCCTGCCTCTTGCCGAAGGCCGAGGAGAAGCTCCTCACGCGGTCCGTCATCTTGATCTCGAGGCCGCGGGGATGCAGGCACCTCTTCTCGAACAGCTCCCGCCAGTATTTGCCGTGCATACATCTTGTGCAACCGGTATCGATGAGCGCCACTGGTACGTCAGACGTGTCACTGTCTTCACTCACCATAAGCACCATCTCCAAAAATCCTTCCCCGGGTACTGGGCGCACGTGGCGCCCGCGAGGGGCCCCTCTGGGCCCCGGTGTGGAGTGTGCTCAGGCCGAAGACGGCGGTGGCCGCGCCTCGCGCAGCCTCTGCTCGCCCTCGTTGTAGTTCAGCGTGCCCTTGCAGTCCGGGAATTGACTGCACCCGAAGAACCAGCCGCCTGTCCGATGATTCTGGCGAGCCACCAGAGCCTTGGAGCACTTCGGGCACGGCAGCACCTCGTCGTCCTTCGTCGTTGGGAGGATCGTGCTGAGGCTGTCGCTGACCACGCTCGCACTGTCGCCAACATCGCTGCCCACGAGCTTGAAGGAGCCGAGGTCGGAGCCGCGGTCCGAGCTGACGAGGAAGGCCGAGTCGTACTCGACGTCGTCCAGCACGAAAAGGGTCGCGTCCCTCCGCTTCTTGGCGCTGGTGCTGCTCGATGGGCGAGGACTGCTGCCCGAAGCCGAGGGGCTGCTCCATGCCGGGCGCGAAAGCGCCGCTGCTCGTCCACGTGGATCAGCTCGACTCTTCGGCTTCGCCGTCGGCTTCGGCCTCTTCGGACCCATAGGGCACTCCGGGTCCCCGGCCCAGTGACCGAGCTTGCCGCACGCCCCGCAGTGCGTGCGCTGCTTGTCCTTCGCAATCTCCGCCTTGCGCTCCTCGAAGGTCAACGTGCCCTCCGCCTTGAAAAAGCCACGCTTCCGCTGGAGGTCTCGAACCTTGGCCCGAGCAGTGTCGTAGGCGGCGTACGCGTTGTTGATCGCCTCGTCCTGACTCGCGCCAGCGTCGCTGGCGATGTCCTCCTCGGCGTCACCGTCCTCGTAGGCCTCGTAGGCCTCGTCGTCGTAGTCCTCGTCCTGCTCGTCCTCCTCGTAGTCCACGTCGTCCGCCTCGGTGTAGTACACCCTCGTCTGCTTCTTGGACTTATCCTTGCCGCCCTTGCCTCCGCCCTTCGAGCGTCCATGAGGATGGGGCTGTGGCGGCCGGGAGGTCTTCTCCTGCAGGTGGAGGTCGTGGTAGTTCGTCTTCAGTGTGTTCTCGAAGGCCTTTGTCTCATACTTATTGTCCGCCACCATCGTGACCAGTCTCTTCTGGTCGTCCGTCAGCATAGCCCCCTCAAGGAGGAAGTACGCGTAGAGATCGTCGCTGAGCTTCGTCCCCTCGTCCAGCTCTGTCAGCTCCTTGTACTTGTTGTGGAACGTCCTCAGGTACTCGACGATCTCCTGGCCACGGCGGCGGCGGGACCTCTTGAAGAAATCATCGAACTTCTGCTGCTTACGCACCACCGCTACCTTGTCCAGGCCATCGAGAGCCTCGATGATCTTCTGATGCGAGCCGTCCTGGGTGAGCGCCGTGATGTTGTCCAGCAGGGGCTCCACCGCCTTCCACGCGCGGCCTGTGAGGCCCCGCGTCAGGCGCAAGCCCAGGTTCGCCCGCTTCTCCTTGCCAGCCTCCGTCGAGCTCGACTGTGTGCTGTACTCTATCATCACCCTCATTCTGTATTCTCGTAGAAGAGCTATGTTCTCGCCGTCCCAGTGCGGGATGCCCTCTTTGTCGACGAAGAGTTCCTCTGCGGACTCGTCCGTCATGCGGGCCATTGTCTCCGCCGTAGATCGTAAACCCAGCTCCGCGACCAGTTTGAACTCCGATCTGCTGCTCTGCTGCAATCCGAGTGGGCGCAACCCCTTTTGCTCCGACCAGCGTGCCGGCAGGCTCACGAGTCTCGGGCGCGGGCCGCCCGAGAGGCAGTAAAACCTGGGGCCCCAGGCTTGGGCCCACAGTGGTTGCGGGAGCACGGGAGAGGGGCAGAGGGAGAGCAAAGAGGAAAGGGATAGGCGGGTTGAGGCGAGCCTGGAAATCTTCACATAGGTTGCTTTGCCGTGATAATGTTTTTTTTTTCCCCAGCCTTGGGGGCAAACTGGAGACCAGCTTGAGCGTCTTGTAGCGATCTTTCGGCGACTCTGGGTCTCTTGGGCCGTGTAGGGGGCGTCCTGGCGCCTTCCTGGCGCTCTCCTGGAGCGCCCGGGCATCGCCAGGGCATCGGCCGGGGTACTTTTCGTCCAGGGCTCCCCAGGGGCTGCCACGCGCGCGCGAACTAGCAATATTGTTAACCTGTTACTGGAGATCTTAGCTCGCCTCTGGCCCGTTGGGAGGGCGAATTTGAAGGCGTGGCCCCAGAGGTCCCAACGCTTTTACTTGGGCTGTTTTTTGTTCGTCCGGGTTCATTTGCATGGTCCCAGAGCCCCTGGAGGCCGCATTGAAAAGAACGGATTGTCGGAGATCGGGGTGCCACGGCGCGAGGATGTTTTGGGGCGGGCCCAGCAAGGACCGGCGGAGGTCGGTCGCCCGAAGCATGGACAGCGCTCGAGCACCACTTCACCGACCTCACGACTCAGACCAATGGCGTAATCTCGCCCAACCCGCGCCGACACCGACACCGACACCAAGGACTTTCTTTTCCTCCTCCTCCCCCTCTCCTCCTAACTTTTTACGTGTCTCGCATTGCATGAATCCAGACACCTCAGATCCTAGAGGCCATGGCCTCACCCACCTGGTCTGCTCTAGGTCCGGACGCTCTCCGCTACGGTGGTCGCATCGCATCGCATCGCATCGGTCGCCCGACATATCCCCCGAGGGTTTGGGCGGCCCCAGCCGCGCAGGACTTCGGCTGGGGGCCGGGTTGCTGGGCTCCGCCTGGCTGGCCGCCGGACGGGAGGGGCGCCACGGGCCACACCGTCGTCGCAGGAGGAGGGAGGAGAAAGGAGGGAGGGAGGGAGGGAGGGAGGGAGGGAGGAGGGAGGAGGAGGAGGAGAAGGGAGAAGAAAGGAGGGAGGGAGGGAGGGAGGGAGGGAGGAGGAGGAGGAGAAGGAGGAGGAGGAGGAGGAGGAAGAGGATGACCAGGAGGAGGAGAAGGAGGAGAGGCAGGAGAAGGATGAGGAGGAGGAGGAGGGGGCGGAAGGAGGTTCGTAGCCATGTTGATTCAAGGCTCAACACAGTGAAGGTTCAGAGAACCGAGAATCTGGTATTAATTTGAGCCTATCCGTCGCTGTCTCTCGAGAAACCGGCGTCCGGCGCATTGCTTTTCACTGTCTGGGCTTCTGCCCCACCTGCATAACTTATCCATGTGCACACTGCTCCACGGCCTGTCGGCCCGCAGTGCATGCGCCGCCCGTCGGCCTTCTTACTCTCGGCTGCTATCGTACTCGCACAGCTCTGCCTCCTGGCGACAGGGGAACTTGACGCCAGCCTCGATCCGACGACCGAGCTCCTGGAAGCTGCAGGCGTTGGGTCCAGCGCTTCTCATCGGCATCCATGCTCTGAAGATCGATCCCGCGACGCTGCAGCTGGAGCAGGACCCGCTACACATCGGAGGAGCCGAAGTCAGAAAGGGCGTGGTGAGACGCTCTCTGAAGGCGAACGCTCTGACCCACTTCACCGAGCCGTCCCCTGGCAGCCTCAACCCTGCGGCGACGGCGATCGGCGACCTCCTCGCCCCGGCTCCGACGGTGGCGGCCAAGATCGAAAGGGCTCCCACAGCCCCGGGTGGGATGATGACGCTTCCAGCACGGACCGCGCTGACGACGACGACAACGTCACCAGGGCAGGGCATCGACACGGTCTCAAGGAACTGGCGTCGAAGATGGGCTCCAGGATCCTCGCCACTGCGGAGGCGCATAAGGACACAGCGGGGCGATGTATCGCCGATTCAAGGTAGATGTTTTCCCTCCCGAGCCAGTCCTCCCCTGGCGTTCCCCTTCAGAGAAGCAGAAGGAGGGAAGCGAGGGAGGAGAAGGAGGGGACACCCGCAACGAGGGGTCGTCGACTGGCGTTGCCAACCTCGTCGTCGGCGGCGTTGGCATTCGGCGTCGGCGTCGTCGTCGTCCTTCGTCGTCGTCGTTGATTGTCGGCGTCCGTTGACGTCGCCCGCTGCTGTCGATCGAGGCTCGGGTTTCGAATGTCGATGTTATGGTTTTCTCAGTTGTTGTTATCCTTTTTGGGGGCCTCTGGGAGGCTTCTCGTGACCACGGCTGGATTCCTGTCGAAATTCTGATCAGAAGGCATTCCAAGAGAGGTCTTCTTAGTCGTCGTCGTCGTCGTCGTCGTCGTCGTCGTCGTCCATCGTCGTTCGGCGTCCGCCGTCCGCCGTCCGTCGTCCGCCGTCCGTCGTCCGTCGTCGTCATTGTCGCCGCCGTCCTCTTCGTCGAAGACGTGGAGGATGAGGAGGAGGAGGAGGTGGAGGAGGAGAAGGAGAAGGAGAAGAAGGATCGGCTCTGACGAAAGGGGGAGGTTCGCGAAAGTGTGGGTACGAAATCTGCTACATGCCAGGCGTCTTCCTGCGTTCCCCGCTCCAGGAGGCGTTGGGAAAACCTGCTGCGCGCAGCTTATTTAATCGCTTCGCTCATTCCGCCGGCCCATATTGTCGCACCGTTGTGGGCTAGCCGAGTTTGGGGGCCTCTTGGGGACCGTTTTGGGGCCTCTTGGGGCCTCTTTTGGGCCTCTTGGGCGCCTCTTGGGGCGTCTTGGGGGCCTCTTGGGGGCCTCTTGGGGCCTTTTTGGGGCCTCCTGGGCGCCTTCTGGGGCGGAGGGCTCGATTTTTCAGTTCTCGGTTCCCCCCTTGAGCCCCTCTTGGGCCCGTCTTGGGGCCTCTTGGTCCGTCTTGGGCGGCACTTGGGCCCGTCTTGGGGCCTCTTGGTCCGTCTTGGGCGGCACTTGGGCCGTCTTGGGGGCCCTCCTGGGCCGTTCCGGGGCCGTCTTGGGAGCTTCGTGGGCCGTCTTGGAGCGGTCTTGGGAGCCTCTTGGGCCGTCTTGGAGCGTCCGGAAGCCGAAAAAGCCAGAACGCAAAAAACATACAAAAAAAAAAAATGTAAATCAGCGATTTTGGCCTCTTGGGGCCCTCTTCGGAGGCCTCTTGGAAGGCCCTTGGGGCGTCTTGGAGGCCTCTTGGGCTGTCTTGGGGCCCTGTTGGGCGTCTTCGGGCGATCTTTGGCCGTCTCGGGGCCCTCTTGGACCGTCTTGGAGGCTTCTTGGGGACCTCTTGGCCCGTCCTGGGGCCCTGTAACAGGGCTCTGGCATCTCTGGCCCGACCTTGCCGGGACCTTGCCGGGGTACTTTTCGTCCGGGGACCCCCAGGGGCCGCCCCGCGCGCGCGAACTAGAAATACTGTTAACCAGGTACCGGAGATCTTAGCACGCCCTGGCCCGTTGGGCCGGCGAATTTCCCCCTTTTTTCCGACCGGGGAGGTGGAAGACCTGGAGGGGAACGGAGAAGGACGTAGGATGAGAAGAGAAGGGAAAGAGGGACGGAGAAGGAGGGGGAGGTTTGCAGGAGGAGGGGAATGGCCCCCTCCCTCCTTCTGCCCCTCCTCCGTTGACCCCGACGATGGCGACGACAGTGACGACGACGGTGACGCCGGCCACGACGGCGACGGCGACGACAGTGACAACAGCGATAACGATGACGACCACGGCGACGACAATGGCGACGACAGCCACGACAATGACGACAATGGCGGCCTTCACGGCGACGGCAACGGCGACGACGGCGACGGCGACGACAACCACGGCGACGACAATGCCGACGACGGCGCAGATGGCGCGGACGGCGACGACGACCTACTAGGGAGCCGACGACGACGGCGATCACGACGGCGATGGCGGCGGCAGTGGCAGCGACCGACGGCTGGTGACCGGCCCGGGGCGGCAGGAGCCGAATCCCGAGGCGGCGCTGGCCGAGCGGCCGAGCTCGGTGCAGGCCGGCCCCCGCCGCCCTCTGCAGAGTTTCGCGCCCCGCGCCTGCCTCGGCGGCGCGCGCGGCCCGTACCCCCTCGCGCCGAGGAGAAATCACGACGGAAGGTTCTAGGCCTCCTAGATGGGGTCGGAGTAGATGGGGTCGAAGGAGCGCGCCGCATCGCCGATATGCATCGCCGATGCGGCTCGGTGTGGATCTCGATTTGCTTCACGTCGACGTCGCCGATTCATCGCTGACGTCGACGTCGACGTCGCAGATTCATCGCTGAAATCACGACGGAAGGTGGTTTTGCCTTTGCCCGTAATTTCCCCAATCGGTGCTCGCACTGAAGGGGGCCTATAGCGGAAGTTGAGAGATTTTTGGTGCAAGTTTCCCGCCGAGTTTGGTAGCAGGCCGGGTTCCCGGGTTCCCGGTTCCGGGTTCCCGCGTTCCCGGTGATTGGTTCCGGGCCGATTTCGGTGGGTTCTGGGTTCCCGGGCTGCCGGGTTCCCGGTCGATCCCCTCACCGAAAACCATCCATTGATCGGGGCGTTTCTTTGGTGTAATGGCTTCCAGGGGCCCTTAACAGGCCTCGGGGCCGTCAAAAAAGGTATTCGGGATGAAGATCCGGTCGCGCGAAGGGATCTGGGCCGCTGGGGGCCACGATAGAGAGAATCATGGTTTTGTTGGCGGCGCCCATACGGGGGTGGCGCGAGGGGGGCTGCCTTCTAAGAATGTGGCGGCGCTTCGTAGGAGGCAAGGGGGCCTGCTAGAGGCCCGCTTGGCTTCGGAGAAGCCTCCTTCGAAACCTCCGGTGCCTTCTATGAAGAAGGCCCTTGCTTTCTACGTAGCCCCTTCGCCTGAAGTCGCCGCCCCCCTCCCGCCAGCCCCTTCTGGGCGTCGCCAGGGTTAATGAAGGCAACCCAGACCTCCAGCGCATGAAGCAAGAATCAGCAAAGAGGCCGTTCAATGTCTTTGGCCTCCGGGGACCCTCCCTGGGCTCTCCCTGGTGACCACCCAGAGACGGATGGGGATGGAACGCCGGCCCTGGGGAAGGGGTCGGGATTTCTGGGGGGCCTGGCATTGCATTTTTGGGAGCGGGTCTTGGAGGAAGGAGATTCGGTTTCTCGCCGGTCTCTCCAGGCCTCGCAAGGAATGCTGGGTCAGAATGGGGTCGGACGATGGCGCCGCATCGCCGATGCATCGGCGATGCGGCGCGATCCTCCGACCCCATCGGCGCCGCATCCATTTGGGAGGTTCCATCCAGGGGCCCTGGGACAGTTCCAAAATACAGTCAGGACGCTGACAGAAAGGCCCCTTCGTGCCTCACCCAGCGCTCCGCATGCTGGCACGGCGACTGTGCTCGTGCGCTTTGGGCTGGTCGTCGCTTCCCCCTTTGGCCTCTCTTCCTCGTCGCCCTGCGTTCCCTCGTCGCCCTGCGTTCCCAGGGAGAGCGGAGGGGCGAGGCGCCAGCCCAGGCCTCGCTGCAGGGGCTCGGCCCCCCTGCGCCCGCACTCGCCGCAGAGATCCCAGGGCCCATCCCGATCCAGTCGATCCGACTCGATGTCGGTGTCGATATCAACCCGATCCGATTCGTTTCGGATGCAGGATTTGAGCTGAAAGGCGTTTTTGCGGGTTTGCTGTCGCTTCGCAGCAGAGGCGCAACGATGGCAGAACGGAGGACAACGAATCCACAACGAAAACGAAAAACACTGTTCCGCTCGAGCCCTGTTCGGATTGTTCCGACGATCCGATGCGGCCCGATGCTCGCATGGCGCTGTTATGCACCCTGGCGCGCTCGATCCGAATCGACTCTGGCTCCGTGCCGATGTGCAGCTCGATCCGACGCTCGTTCCGAGCCGATCCGCTCTCCCGGCTCGATGCCGACTGATCTTGGGCTCCCGGATCCGGGCCCCGTCCCCCGCGAAGCCCCGGGGCGCGGGATGCAGCGAGGAGCCGCTCGAGGACCTCGGGGGCCTCTGGGACATTGACCTCTCCTCGAGGGGCGGCCCTCCGAGGAGGGCGCGGGGCGCCTTGTTCGGGGACCCGTGCCGCGCTGGCGAATGCCGCATATTTTCTCGTGCAGCCGAACGTGGGTCCGCATAGTGCCTGACGGGGAGATCTGGACTTCACGCAAGTCGGGGCTCACTTGCAAGCCTCTTCGGCCCGGCGCTTGCAAGCAGGCCTCGCCCGAACCCAAAGTAGGAGGCCCTGCAAACGAGTGCCTACGGCAGGTTCGTGTCGCGACCCCAGCGCGGCCGTTCAAGGTTGAACGCCGCCGGTGGCCCAAAATCTGCCAACATGGAACGATCGGCGCTATCGGAAAGCGCCGGTCGTTCAAGGCTGCACGCTCCACGCGGTGTCAGAAGCCCACGCCGGGGTCGTCACGACGCGAACCCGCTGTGAGGCGGCGCGCTTCTGCCCCCTCTGCTCGCGCCCTCCGCCCCTCGCACCGCGTGCCCCCGCGGTCGCCTCGGCCGCCCTGCGGGGCCGTCGGATTGGCTCGCCCGATCACTTGCGGGCACGGGTCCAATCCTGGACATGGTCGCGTCGTGAGGAACTCACGACGGGAGGTGTTTGGCAATTGGTCAGCCTCCAGGGGCCCTCGCCAGGCCCCGGGGCCGTCAGAAAACTACTCGGGATGGACGCCGGCCCTGTATGGGCAAAGGGTGGGGACTTCTGGGAGCCGGTATTGAAAATCATAGCCAGAGTCCAGCATCCTCAACCAGCATGTTTTGAGCCAAGGTGGCTCCTCAGAGTGTGCGCACGTTAAGTTCTGCTGCTCCTGATCCGCCTGCGCCTTGGGCGTCGTCGTCGAGCTTTCCGTCATAGTCGTCTTCGTCTTCCTCCTCATCCACGTCATAAATTTTCTCGCCATCGCCGTCCCCCTTCCTCTACACCTCCACCATCCTTCTCTTCTTCCTCCTCCTCCTCCTCCTCCCCCTCATCGTCATCATCAGCACCATCAGCATCATTATCACTATCATCAGCATCATTATCACTATCACCATCATTATACTCAGCAACATCATCATCAGCATCATCATCATCATCATCAGCACGATCAGCATCATCACCACCACCATCATCATCATAAGCACGATCAGCATCATCATCACCATCATCATAATCATTATCATCATCATCATCACTCAATCATCATCATCATCATCATCATCATCATCATCATCATCATCATCATCATCATCATCATCATCATCATCGTCATCGTCATCGTCATCGTCATCATCATCGTCGTCGTCGTCATCATCATCATCATCGTCATCATCATCATCATCATCATCCCCACCTTTCTTCCTCCTCCCACTCTTCCTGTTCCTCTTCCTCATCGTCCCGCGGCGGAGCGCGGTCCGGGCGCACTTTGAATCGGTGCCAGCGCGCGGTGCACCCCCCAGTGCTTCGCTCTGGGAACAGCCCCTGCCTAGCGACCAGCACGAGGGCCTGGCGGCCAAGCAGCGGCCGCTTCCGGCGGGGAGGGGTTGCGCCAGCCGGGGCTTACGGACCAGATCCCTTATAAGGGCGCTGGACGAGCACCGACAGCGAGGTGTGGGCGGCCTCGCGCGCCGGTCGCCCGCGCCCGGCGCCGCGCAGCGCAGCGCCTCCGCGCCGCCAGCCCCGCCCCCGGCGGCACACGCTGCCCCGCCGCGCAGCGCGCCCGCGCGCCGCGCGCGCAGCAGCCCGGCGGGCCTGGCGACCACGGCCTGGCCAGGCGAGAGGGCGAGAGATGTAGAACAACACAAACAAGAAACCGAGAGATATTGAGAGACAGAGGGGGCTGCACTTGTTGTTAGGAGGGTGTGTCTTTGAGAGAAGAAGAGGGCGAAATACAAGGAACGATCTGTACCCTCTTCCCAGATGCATGCGCGCGACAGAACGAAGTATTCTTCTCAGCATGTTGAAGACAAGAGAAGCGCCGAAAGAAACGGAGAGAGAGAGAGAGAGAGAGAGAGAGCAAGCGATGACATATGCATAAGGCTTCCTCGAGGTTGGGAGAGACATTTGGCTGTTACAGAGAAGGAGAGATGGAGAGATTCGATTTCATCCTCATCCTCCTTCACAGCTGTGTGAGACAGAGCGAGAGAGAGAGAGAGAGAAATAGAGAGAGAGAGAGAGAGAGAGTGTAAAGCAACAGAGTCGAAGGAAAGGGCTTGAACGGAGATGAGGGGAGGCATTGCTTTCTGACAGAGGAGAGCTCCAGAGCCATTGGAAAATCTTCTTCGATTCTCGAATACCACCAAGCCCTATTATGCGTAGCTTCTTGTTGTTGATGATGTTGTTGTTTGGCTGGTCGGTGATACCACCAAACCCCACGATACATGTGTTTCTTTTGAGGAGGCCGCAAACGTGGCCAGGAAGGCGCTTGCGGGAGGAGCATGTCCACAAACCTTACTGTACACATGTTTGTGTTTCTTCGTCAGGGACACCACCAAACCCCATTCAACACAGTTCTGTTTTGTTTTGGATCCCCGCCCAACAGGTTGGGGTCGTAAAAACAAAAATAACAGACCTCCCAGCCCGCCCGCCCAGCATACCGCTGCCGCCAGATCCCCAGGCTCCCGATAGTCCCTGGCGGTCCCGCCCCCCCCCCTCCCGCCCTGCATACCGCGGCTGCCAGATCCTCAGGCTCCCGATAATCCCTGGTGGTCCCGCCCCCCGCGCCGACTTGCCCACTATGCATACTGTTGCCTTCAGATCCCCAGGTCCCCGGATAATCCCTGAGGGTTCCACCCCCCGTCTTGAGTCGCCCACTCTGCATACCGCGGCCGCCAGATCCCCATCGTGCGATTTTTTGAAACGAATGTGCGCAACGTTGAGGCGAGAGCATCGAGCCGCCCTTCATCCGTAAATCTCTTGCAAGTTTGTGAAGCGAATGCGCGCGGCGCTATGGCGATATCCACATCATCCTTCCGGTGCGGGGATAACGCTTCCTGGGCTGGGGGAGAGTTTCTTAAATGTTTCTTAGGGTTACTTTTCGCCCGGCGACCCGCAAGGGCGGCTCGCGCGCGCGAGCTCGAAATCTTCTACTCTAGTTGCCGGAGATCCTAACACGCCTCTGGCCCATTGGGCCGGCGAAATCGTGTGTCATGGGGTTCTTTTATTCGTTCAAGTTGGAGAGGAGCTCCCAACCCGCCTCGCACACCATGCATTCCTCTGCCGCCAGGGGCCAGACCCACATCGTGCCAGTCCTCCCTGGGAATCGGGTCCCGCCTCGTGTCTTCGACGCGTGATGACGGCAAGGCGCGGCCGCGGGCCCCAAGAGTGCCAGTGCTCCCCGGGGCCCACCAAACCACCCCAACCCAACCCGAAGGCCCCAATTTGCCCTCCATTCCGAGTGGGCGGGGCGTCCGGGATCATTGCGCAGCCACATGAAACCCGTACCCCCTCCAACCCGAAATTTGGATCTTCGGGTTGGGTTGGGGTGGTCTTGTAGGTGTCGCTGGAATCAGAATGATTAGTTGTGGGCCTCCCACGGGTTCTCGTCGCTGCGGCCCTTGAGCCGATCCCCTCCCATGTCGTTCCCCTTCGGTACGGGAGTTTGAGACGGGGGTCAATGCAAGCACAGGTCAGCCAGAGCACCGGATCTTGCAAAGCCAGGGTTGCATTGACCTGGGCTTGCGCGCAGGATCCCGCAGGATCCTGCAAGATCTTGCAGGATCCTGCAAAGCCTGACTAACTCGGGTTTGCACTGACCCGGGTCTGTGCGTCCCCAATCGGTGCCCTCCCTCGTCGGCGGCAGGGCCGCCTGCTCCGGGAGCAGCACTGGTGGCAGTGCCTCGCGGCGGCTGGTCCTGAGGAGGCCGATGGGGCCTTGCCCTCTGCTCCACCCGCTTCCGCGCGGCACGGCAGCCCAAGCCTCCAGCGAGACATGTCGCCGCGCCGCTTGTTCCCATGCGCGGCCTTGCGTCTTGGGGGGGGGCGCCGCAGGCACCAGGGCAAACGCCGCCTCGGGCGCGGTGGGTTTGCCGTGGGGTTTGCCGCGGTGCTTTCGTCGTCTACCCGGGGCGCGGGTCGCAGGGCTTGCCGTGGGTTTGCCATGGTGTCGGCGTCGTCCATTTGGGCGCGTCGAGAACAAGCGGCGCGGCGACATGTGATGTGTTCGACCTTGGCGTTGTTCCTCGATTTCGGCCTCGGGTGCCCGTTCTCAGGCTCCGTAGACATCATAAAACGGATCCAGGGCGAAGAGCTAGACCACAGGGAAGGGATCGGGACATTTGGGGCCCTGGATAAAGAAAAGGCCGTCGGATGTGCAGGAAAGAGCGTTAAGTTCGCTCGCATGAAGGCCCCCTGTTGTTAACCCTGGGGCCGGGGGAGCATCCATAATTGCTTGGTCGGGAGCCTTGAGACGGGGGTCAATGCAAAGGGGGACAGCCAGAGCGCTGGATCTTGCAGGATCTTGCAGGATCCTACAAAGCTCGGCTGCTCGGGTTTGCATTGACCCGGGTCAGTGCGTCCCCGATTTCGAATGGGAACGGGGGAAGCGTGTTGGAAAAGCACGACGCCGGAGCATTTGGGATGGTCGGTGGCCGGTCGAGTGGGGGAGGGAGTCTTTATCAGAAAGGATCAGTGAAGACAATTCCCCCGAAGGGGAAGGAGGTGGTTGGAAGAGCCATACAGCTGCCAGCGGGAAAGGTCCGCCAGCGTGCCGGCGCAAGATTCTGCATGGCGAGGTTCAGAAGGTTGTAACATGTGATGCCTCTTATCTCGATTCCGCCACGGGTTCTCATGAAACCTCCGTCGTGGTACTCTTGGTGTCCACTTGGGCAGTCTTGGTGTCGTCTTGGGCGACCTCGGGCCCATGTCGGTCGCCTGGGGGGTCTCTTGGGGTTGCCTGGGGGCCTCCTGAAACCTTTGGGGCCGTCGTGGAACCCCACCTTGGTCCAGAGCCTTTGAGGCCCTCATGGGCTTGTCTGACTCCCTCTTGGCCCCTCCGGGGCCCTCTTGGAAGCCAAGTGGAGCCGAAAGGGCAGAGAAACGCAACACATTCTGCAAGGGTTTGCCGCGAGTCCGCCGCCTGTCCGGGAGGAGGGAGATGAGGAGGAAGAGGAGGGTGACGAGGAGGAGGAGCAGCAGCAGCAGCAGGAGGAGGAGCATCAGGAGGAGGAGGAGGAGGAGGAGCAGCAGGATGTGTCGAGCAGGAGGAGGAGGTGGTGGAGGAGGTGCTGAGGCCCTTAGAGAAGGCCCCCCTCTGCAGCTGGCACCGCTAGCACCAGTCGGAGGAGAGCACAAGAAGAGCTGTGGACCTCGCCTCCGAGACCCCCTCGAGTCATGACAGACATCACGACGGCAGGTTTTTCATTTCTTTCTGGCTCTTGGGGCCCCTACCGGGCCTCGGGACCGTCGAAAAACGATTCAGGAGGGAAAACCGGTCCGGGGAGATGGGTCGAGACTTTTGGGAGGTCGAAGTTATAACAAAAATCATGACGGCGGGGGTCTGGACTTAATGCGCCCCGACGTTTGCATTGTGCATAGTGCTGTTGTGCATCCTGGAACGGCCGATCCGGTTGGAGGAGGAGGAGGAGGAGGAGGAGGAGGAGAGAGAGGATGGGGCATCTTGGGAGCCTCTGGGGGCACTCTTGGGCTCTTGGGGCATCCTGTCTTGGGCCGTCTTGGGGCCCTCTTGGGGCCGTCCTGGGGGCATCTTGGGTTGTTCTGGGGCCATCTTGGAGGCCTCTTGGACAATCTTGGGGCGATCTTTGAGGGCTCTTTGGCCGTCTCGGGCCGTTGGAAGGCCAAAAAGAAACAAATGCCAACACCCTTCACAAACCAAAAGAAATTCAATGATTGTGGCCTCTTCGGGCCTCTCTGGAGGCCCTCATGGGGGCCTCTTGGGCCGTCTTGGAGGCCTCTTGGGGGTCTCTTGGGCCGTCTTCCGTCATCTTGAGGCCATGTTGGGCCGCCTTGGAGGCTTCCTCGGCGAAGTGTGAGGAATCTTAGACTCACTTGGGCCGTCTTGAAGGCCATCTTGGGCGAACTTGAGGGCCACCTTGATCATCTTGGGTTCGAGGATTAAGGAGAGGTTGTATAGCGAACGCTATGTCCGACGCTGTCTTGGCTCAAGTCTGCGCAGTCCAACGTGCTACGTTCAACGCCCTGTGTACTTCTATTTGCGGTCCATCGCAATGGACAAATGCCACGTCCTTCGATGATCCATCTCCCGATCCCATGGCTTCTCTCTTACATCTCGTCTTGCCTGCCATCAAGGGATGATTTGTGGGATACCTCGATACGTCGCCGACGTTATCCTAGGAGTCGGGTTCTCAGCTTATTACCTCATGGTCAAGCCTGGGACTCTTACTTTTCGCCTGCCAGCAGAGCTGGCTACATCTTTATGTGGCTGGTTTTTACAGCAGGTGTTATGTTCGTGACAACTGACCACGGCACAGTGGAGTACCCGACTGCGCCGGCTGTCAGCCACTACATCCCAACATTCTCAAACCATTTGGTAAGTCACAGCCCTATACCTCCATCTCCCCGCCGCGTGGCCACACGCTACGCACGACCCAAACACCGACATTTATCCGCAAGTTGGCGGCCACGTCGGAGCAGACACCCAGTCGCAACCCTCAGGACCGACGCCGCGTGGCCGTTAACACGCTACGCACGCGACATTTATCCGCAAGTTGGCGGCCACGTCGGAGCAGACACCCAGTCGCAACCCTCAGGACGCGACGGAATCCAATGATAAGCGCCCTAATATCAACGGCTACAACATAACAGGGCACTACGTTAAGGTCGCGATATTTGAAAGAGCGTGTTCTACCGCTGCTGGCGGAAAACCGGGGGGGGTCACTACCGGTTCGAACCCCTCCCCCCCCCCCCCCTCCGGAAAACCGGGGGGGTCACTACCGGTTCGAACCCCTCCCCCCCCCGCCCCAGTTCATCATGAAAAGGGGGGGGGGTCACTACCGGTTCGAACCCCCCCCCCCCCCCTCGAAAACCGAGTGGGGGTGCGGACAGTGGTGGGGACGGTGTTGGTGGGGACAGTGGTGAGGGGACAGCGGGACAGTGGTGGGGACAGTGGGACAGTGGGACAGTGGTGGGGACGGTAGTGGTGGGGACAGTGGTGGGGACAATGGTGGGAACAGGGGGGACAGTGGACAGTGGTGGGACGGTGGTGGTGGGGACAGTGGTGTGGGGACAGTGGGAATGAGGTGGAAACAGTGGGACAGTGGAGGGTACAATGGTGGTGGGGACAGTGGTGAAGGCGGTGGCGAGGACGGCGGTGGGACAATGGGACAGAGGTACAGTGGGGACAGTGGTGGGGACAGTGGGGACAGTGGTGGGAACAGTGGGACAGCTCAGTGGGACAGCGGAGGAGTCAGTGGGACAGTGGGGACAGTGGGGATAGTCGGGCAGTGGTTGGGGCCGTGGAGACAGTGGGGAGAGTGGAACCGTGGTGGGAACAGTTCTGGGGACAGCGGGGACAGTGCGACAGTGGTGGGGCCACTGGTGGGGACAGTAGGGGCGGTGGTGGAACCAGTGGGGACAGCGGTGGTGAGGACAGTGGTGCTGGGAACACCAGTGGGGGATGTGATGCGGACGGTGGTGGGGACCGGGAGTCGTTTGCTGGCGGTGAGTGGGGGGGGGGGGGGGGTTCCAACCGGTAGTGACCCCCCCCGGTTTTCCGGATCCGGAGGAGGGGGGGGGGGGGGGAGGGGTTCGAACCGGTAGTGACCCCCCCCGGTTTTCGAGGGGGAGGGGGGGGGGGGGGGGGGAGGGGTTAGGGGAGAGGGGGGGGGGTTTTGCCGGGAGGGAGGGGGGGGGGGGGGGGGAGGGGTTCCAGCAGGGGGGGGGGGATTTTCGGAGGGGGTGGGGGGGAGACCCCCGGGCTCCGGAGGAAAAGGTTGGCAATTTTCCACAGTAAAGCGGCGGTGGATCACGCTCTCTCCGATATTTGGAACTATCTGGGTGTGCCTAGGCCTTGCCGTGGCAGACGTGCGAGGAGAAGGACTGGATGAAACACGAATTCGGGGCCCCTTCTGGGACCCCGCAGGTAACGCACCCTTCCGCGATTTTACTCGCGAAATACACGCATCGCTTAACGTCGCGAACGGAAGCGTGACTCCACCCCAACCGGCAGCTGTTCTACAGCGCGGCCTCGGGGGATTGGCTAGGACACTAGCCATGAGGGTGTCGTCCACCATCATCAATTACGGTGTTAAACTGCAGGGGGGACGCACCAATGGATTCACATACATCATGTACCTGCTAAGCACCAAACCTGAAAACTGCGAGGACGAGCGACAGCTCACCTCAGGGACAGCCCTCATCGACTTCAGAGTCGAAAGAGACGAGCGTATCGACTCAGTACTGGCCCGATCCGAGATGGCCAGAATGGAAGCAGACCCAGCAGACTTCAACACACCCAACTTCCAGATCCTTACCCTGATCTTATTTCGTGCCCTGCGGGGTGGTACTTCCCGAGCAGCTCAACTACTGCAACCGCTGAACCACCATATGTCCCGCACTCAATAACAGCACGACCAAGTCTTGGAGCGCATGCACAGCCACGGACACTTGGTTGAGCGTTCCCAAGGGAACATAGGGAGCATCTTCAGCGGACGCAGCGCTGGCACTTACCACCCCGTAGTGGGCGACGCACCGGCAGCCATGCCGAACAGGATTTGGAACGACGGACACCCCACTGAGTCCACGACGCTACTAGGCCAAGACGCCCACAAGAACAACGAACAGGCGTCTGGCTTAAACATTGGCTCGCCGTCAGCGGACAGCAAAACGCCAAATGACTAGACTATCTTCTGGGGCTCACCCATCCAACAAGACGACGACGTACTCGATTCCTCTACGGATGCCGATACGGTCTCCTCTACCGGTGCCGAAAATTTGGACTGGTCAGACCTGCCCTCCGGTGATGACGCAATTGCGCAGTACTTATACCTAGGCCTTCTTCACGCCAAAAGAAGGTGGATGCGACGGATGGGAAAAGATCAGTCAGGATATTCCGGCGAGCTGTACGTTGTGTCTTTTTCCGCAAAGGAAAGGGCGCGGCAGAGGCGGCAGACGTACCCGCAAATTGCATAGCAAAGGCATAGCCACGTTCCTGGCTCGATTGGCCGACTACGACTTTGTAAACCTACTCTTAGGAGGGTAAAGATATAGGCAAAGGTCGCAAGGCATACAACAGGTAAGGGCAAGGACGTAGGCCGAATCCAATGGGCAAGGATTGGAAAAACGGATGACATGCAGCACCTGCGGGGGCGACAAACACTTCCAAGCGCAATGTTCGACGGATCCGTACTTATTGTCTCAGAACAACCCGAAGCGGATATGATTGAGAACGCTGATTTCCCCGAAATCGACCACTTTTTTTCAAACCAGTTCAGTTTGGTTTTGATGGCACACTTTGCTAGCGCTGCCATGTCGGTAGAAAGATATGCCGGGTGCCTCCACGACGGGGTCGAGGAGCTCTACGACAAGTCGTCGGTCAGCTCCGTCCGGTCGTTCACATTGAATCGCTTGCGTTGCATGTCCGTGAGTTCGGATGCTGCGCCTGGCTTCGTGGGGTCGTCGGTGGATGTGTCGTCAATCTCGTCGCAGGGCTCCTCCGTGAGGCTTGTCGCTAGCAAGAGGGCTGCTTCGCCCTCCTTCTCCAGAGTCAGTTTCGCCAGGAACATGGTCGCGCGCTTCTCGTACTCCTTCCAATTGCTGAGCGCTTCGTCGAACATAAGCAATCCGTTTTGGTTGAGCTGCACTGCCGTCGAACGTTGCGTAGCCGCTGGGCTTCGCCATTGTGACGATGCTGAACTCAGTGAGGCCGAGAATGTCGCTGCTGTCGCTGAAGGTGAGGATCTCGCTGGAGGTCGATTGTTGGTCGCAGCCGCTGTTGCGGCTGTCGTCCGCGCGGTGCTGTATGTCCGGCCAGCTCTGGAGATGGAAGGTGCGAGCCGATCGTGGCCCGCTCCACTGCCAATATGGATTGGTCAAAGCTCCAGAAATCTTTGACGACCAGCAGTATGGATAGCAGTAAAAACATCAGCCGATAACGTTTTCACACCGCACGCGTAGTACCTCAAGGGCCCCTGGTACGGTTCGGGCCAAAATGGACAGCGGAGGCAAACCCCTCACATGCTGCTCTGCACGTGCGTTTGCATTTGCTGCAGGTGCTGCTGCTGGTGCTGTTGCTGCTGCGCTGAGCACGACATACAGCGTACATTTCACACCCCTCCTCATTTCGTCCTGTTTTGCATGTTTCCTCCTGCTTTCTCCTCCCTCCACCATCACCGTTCTCCGCACTCCATCCCCGCGCCTCCCCATGCTGATTATACTCCTCCTCCTCCCTTCGGCCTCCTCCTCCTCTTCCTCCTCCTCTTCCTCCTCCTCATTCTCCTCCTTTTCTTTGTAGCGTGTCACACCTTGCGTAGCGGGCGTAGGGGCCCCACTAGCTCTCTCAACACGAGCGAATAGGTCTGAATACACTGACCTTTAATGCGAGGTAGATACGATGCCACTCACATTGTCCCAGAGCTGCGTGCTATGACCTCTCCTCCTCCTCCTCCTCCTCCTCCTCCTCCTCCTCCTCCTCCTCCTCCTTCTCTGGCACGCTCGCCTCCTCCCCTTCTCTCCTCCTCCTTCTCCTCCTCCTCCTCCTCCTCCTCCTCCTCCTCCTCCTCCTCCTCCTCGTCCTCCTCGCTCGCCCACCCCACCCCTCCAGGCCGCGGCGCCGCCTCTGGGGCAGCCGCCCGCTGGTGCCGGGCCGCCCGCCTGACTGCGGAGGGGTCGGCGTCGAAAAGGCGCTGAGCCGGGGGCCGACGGCGTCGACGGCAACGGCGGCGGTGGCGACGGCGGCAAGGCGGCTCAGGGAAGAGATCGTCAGAGGAGGGAAAGGCACCGCTACCGCTATCCTTCCCTCGTTTTTCCCTTTTTGGGCCTCCTGGGAGGCCTTCGTCGCCATCGGTGGATTCGCTTCGAGATCCTGGTGAAAACGCACCCCGGGAGAGGTCCGGGCAGTAGCTGTATCTGTGCGTTTTGGTTTCCCCAGATCGGGAGTTATGAGGCGGGGGGTCAATGCAACCGGGCTTCAGCCAGAGCGGTGGATTTTGCAGTATCCTGCAGAGCCCGGGGTGTATTGACCCAGGCTTGCGCGCAGGATCTTGCAGGACCTTGTCAGGCCCGACTGATCCGGGTTCGCACTGACCCGGGCCAGTGCGTCTTCGAAGAGATGTCAAGCGCCCCATCCTCGCGTTGTCCACGTCGCAGCTCCGCCACGCCCAGCGTCGCGTATTTCCTCTCCGTGTGCGCGCTGGCGCTGCAAAGTGTGGGACCGCCACGGCCATCGTAGCTGAGAGGGCCGATCGAGGCCAGGGTCTCTCCGTGTCGGGTGTCGGTGACCTGCGGGAACGGGCCTTGTGCCGGACGAGGTGGCGCGCTCGCTCGCTGACGTCGGCCTCGACGGTGTCGACGACGGCGGCGAGAGAAATTCGCCGGCCCAACGGGCCAGAGGCGTGCTAAGATCTCCGGTGACTGCTTTACAATCTTTCTACTTCTCGCGCGCGGGGCGGCCCCTGGGGGCCCCCGGGCGGAAAGTACCCCGGCAAGGTCCCGAGAGAGTCCCGGGAGGAGTCACCAGGGCGCTCCAGCAGCGCCCCAACGCGGCTCCGAGACGTCCCCGAGAGCCCCAAGAAGGGCCAAGAGGCTTCCAAGAGGCCCCCAAGATGCTACATGAGGGGTCCGAGATGCCACAAGATCGCTCCAAGACGCCCACGATGGCCCCCAGACGCCCCAAGAGGCCTCCAAGAGCACTCCCGAGAGGGCCCCAAGAGGCAAAATTCACTGCTTTTCCTTAGGTTTTGGAGAGATTTTGGCGTTTCCACCTTTTCGGCTTCACGACACCCCAAGACGGCCCAAGAGGCCCCCAAGACCGCCCCAAGAGGGCCCAAGAGGCCCCCAAGAGGGCCCCAAGACGGCCCAAGAGGGCTCCAAGACGGCCCAAGAGGCCTCCAAGACGGCCCAAGAGGGCCCCAAGAACGCCCCAAGAGGGACCCCAGGGGGGGAACACGAAACAATATTTCGAGCCCTCGGCCCTCAGAAGTCCCCAGGAGGCCCCAAGAGGCCCCTAAGAGGCCCCAAGAGGCCCCCAACAGGCCCTCAGGAGGCCCCCAAGAGGCCCCCAAGCGGCCCCAGGAGGCCACCCAAATGCCCCCCCGAGCACGCAAGCAAGTGCCAGCGACGCTACACTATGGGCCGGCGGAATGAGCGAAGCGATTCAATATCTTCTTGCAACCGCCCAGGTGCAACCACCCAGGGGTAGCAAGACTAAGACAAGCATCATCAAACATCATCATCTGTATAACGTGGGCTTCGCCCTCTGCCGCCCGCCTGGCGCGGCGGAGGGGCCTGCCGCCGAAGAGGCGCTGCGCCGACGGGCGACTGGGTCGACGGCAGCGGCGGCGGTGGCGGCGGTGACGGCGAGGCGGACCGGGGGCGAGAAGAAGAACTTGGCATCGCTCGGAGGGTGTGCACTTTTCTCGGCGGGGCCACCGACAGAAACTCTGGAGCATCTTAGAGCATCTTGGACCATCTTGGAGGCGGGTCAGGAAAGAGAGGAAGAGCGTATGGCAATCGTCAGGGGTAGCAAGGGCGGGGCAAACGTCAATAAGCATCACCATCATTGTCATCATTCTCATCATCATCATCATCATCATCATCATCATCATCATCATCATCATCATCATCATCATCATCATCAGCATCAGCATCATCATCATCACATCATTATCATCCGTAGCAAGTTTGACTCAAGTTCGAAACGTGCGACACTGGTGCTTCGAACTTGGACTCTGCCGAGGGGACGGCTCGAGCGTCCTCAGGAGCTTCTCCTCTCCCGCTCTTTGCGGCGAGACGCCCATGTGGCCGCAGGTTCATCTCGCACGCAATTTGCAGCGAAGCCCTCAGCACCTCCTCGATATGGCCCTGGTCGGTGCCGACGCCATGCGAACATGAGAATGAAGCGTTTCAAGCCGCAGCAGGCCAGCATCGATGTGCTGGACAACAAGATCGTGAACAGCATGCACGAGGTGAAGCGCGTGGGCACCAGGGTGGCTAAGCCACGAGGTGGTGCAGACCCTGCTCTCCGACCTCGGGAAGCAGAATGCCAAGATCGCCTCCCTCGCGATGAAGGTGGTCATGATCAATGATGGCAGGATGGGCGAAGGATGTGGACTTGCACGAGATGGAGAAAGCCTTGCTCCTCTTCGGCGGTGCCAACGCATACAGGACGACCAACAACTCGATGCTGAGCTTCAAGCCCGTGTTGTGAAACTCGAGTCGGCGATTGCTGCGGCTACCTCCATTAGATCCTCGTCGGTTGCTTCTGTGAACTCCATCCGCAGTGACCCGTGATCCTACTTCTCTCCTCCTCGTGATGGTCATTGACCTGCTCCTCCTCCTCCTCCTCCTCCTCCTCCTCCTCCTCCTCCTCCTTCCGTAGCCATTTTGGCTCAAGCCATTTTGGCTCAAGTTGCCATATCCTCAAGGCAGCTGGCCATGTCAGAGCAGGGCTGCTCCCGACTCGGCCCGCGACACAAGGGCCGGGGGTTGACCCTTTTCGCGCACTAAGGCATTTTGCCGCCCAGATTCTCTCTCCAGTTCTTGTCTCGCTTCCTGGCAGTGCAATGGCCGCTGCCGAGGTATCCAATGCTCAGCTGCTTCAGGTTCTCGAAGGAATGAACGGCGGCATGAACGCCATGAGGGACGACATCACAGATGTCAAAGAGCGTCTCGCGGTTGCTGAAGGGCTCGAGGAGAAGATTTCCGATCTCGAGCTCGCCATGGAGGGCAAGTTTGAAGAGGCTAAGAATGCTCAGCAAGCCCTCGTTCTCGACATGGATCTACGAGTTTCTCGACTCGAGCATGCCCATCAAGAAGCCGCCACCAACGCCGCCTTCCTTGGCACCGAGGACGGCAACCCCACCGCCAAAAACGCAGGGATCGAGATTCAACGCCAGATGAATGAGAAGATGGCCAGACTCGAAGCGTCTCTTGCCGAACTCCAACGAGCTCCGTCCGATGCAGGCTCCGCTTCAACTCGGCCGCCATCCAAGCCTCGTCGCTTAGGGAGGGGCACCAGCGCTGGCCCCAGCGCATCCGAGATTCCCGCGATCGATCTCGCCAACGACGAGCACAACCATATCGACCCGACCAGACGGTGGATCAGCGGGTTTCCTCGCCCAGTCACCGAGCCATATCGGCGCGCAGTCTTCAACCAGATGAAAAGCCGACTTCCTGCCGCCATCAGCGAAGGGATGGCAGGGCATTTCCACAAAGTATCACAAGCGTTCGCCGTCACCTTCAACTCCGAGCAGAGGCGCGCGACTTCCACGACTGGTTCCTCGCGAACCCCGTGACGTGGCAGGACTATCGCAACACCTCCCTTCATCCACTGCGCTGCCGTAGGGATATGCCGCTGCAGGCCCGCCAGACGAACCGCGTCCTGAGCGCCCTCTGGCCGCTCGTCCGCAAGCACCTCGAGAACGCAGGCAAGTGGAGTCCGTCCATCAAGATCGGCACCAACCCGTTCAAAGGCGCGTTCAGTATCACCACCGAGAATGACCATTGGGAGATCTTCAAGTTGCCCGACGCTCCTGGAGGCATGTGCGAGCTGAAGCCGATTAGCGACCAGCTCTCCGAGTGGAGCATCACCGAGCCGACCGCCAAATGGATGGTCGAGCAGGCCCAGGCCTCCGTCCAGCAGTACTGAAGTGATGCCAGCCTAGTATCGTGTGCAAATTTTATATCTCTTCCCGCTTCCTCACTGCCTCTGTCGCCCGAATGTTCTGCTCTTTGTTCGCCTTCCCTGTCGAATGCTGAACTCGGAGCCCAGCCGCCTTCGCCTGAGAAACCAGCCAGTTCTCGCCTCTCTGTTCCGCCGCCCCTGGCCAACGGTCGAGGTATTCGGATTGCTACATGGAACTGTCTTACCCAGTTCGGCGCGGTCTCTGGGGACCACGACACTCAGGTCAAGACCTTCGATCGACTTACTAACCTAACTAGAGCAAACACTATCAATTTCTTACAAGAAACGCACGGCCATGAAGGGGATCGCGAGTCGTTGCGTACCGAGTTCCCTGGCTATGAATCTTTCTGCACGTTCTGCCCCGACAGTCACGCTGGCGGGAACGCGATCATGTTCGCTCGCTCTCTTCTCGCTCTGCTTCCTCAACATCAGCATAATGTGGTTATTCCTGGGCGTCTCCATGCCGTCACCATCCAGTCCGACTCTTTCTCGCTTACCATCTTGAACCTCCATCTCGACCCGAGTTGCCGCCACGGAGAGAAAATACGGATATTTCGCATGTGCGCCGATTTTTGCACGTTGCCCAGGGCCTCTTCTTCTTTGTTGGAGACTTCAACTTTTGCGAGCTGGGCGAGGGCACCCAGCGAGTAGACGGATCTGTGCAGATCAACAGCCCCGACCCCCTCGCCCACAAGTTCTGGTCGCTATTGCCTAACGTTATGGAATGCTACCAAGAGAATCCGACCAACCACACCACTCGGAATGGGAATGTGGTTAGTGCATCCAGGATCGACCGTATTTATACCAATATGTTCACTGGGGATCTTGGATTTGAAACCGACCTCTGGGACCTCCTGGACAAGTTGTAAAGCCGACCTCCCGAGTGACCACGCCCCGGTGTACCTGCGTCTGAACGGAGGCGGAGACAGCCGCGCTCGGGCCGTCGCCTCGCGGGTCTCTCGTCACCCTCTTTA